TTCGAGAATAGAAGATGGCAACATCACGAAGAGAATGAGTGAATTGTATCTCTGACTTGTACCAGTGGCGATCAAGAAAAGTCAAATTTTGGAACTTCAACTTAAAATGTTCCGTAAGGATGTCCCAGAACTGTGATTCGACACTGAATGTTTGAGTTAAAAACGAAATTTTTCTTCCCAAATTATAACAGTTTCAAGAAAATGAGGTGTATGATGGTTTTTAAAGTGTTAGCATCTGTTGACTGTTGAGTATCTCGGTAACTGAGAATTCATTTTGACTCGAACTTTTGGCACTTTATCAGTAAAGCGCGAACACTTGGGTATGCTTGATTAATGTAGAAAAAAATGTAGAAAGGAAATATGTAGAAAAGTTTGAGAACGGTAAGAGTAAGATCTTAGTAGTGTTAAGGTTTTAGGGAAAGGAAAAAATGGGCGAAACTAGGTTTTTAATTGTTTTAGACAAAGAGAAATTTAACAAAAGTTATCTAACAATCAATCATTTTTTATTAATTTATTTTGTTCTATCCTTAACAACAACAAACGATAAACTTTCTAAATATTCTGAATGAATACCAACTGTTTTATTAATGCATCCTTAGTATTTGTATAAACACCTACATCGCAACTACGATCTTCACATCGCCAATCTTTAACTGTAGTTGTTGTTTTACTAACATAATAAGTGTAACTATCGCGAACTAACAATGGTTTGCCTTTGTTACTTGTAATAATTGACATTGTACTAGCCATAGTAGTTTATGTATCGTTTTATTAGAGCAAGAACGAGTGTTAAAAAAATAATACATCACAGTATTTATAAAACAACTAGATATCGTTGCTTATACTCTTATCATTTCTTTGATCAATTAGTCTGATAATTAGACTTCATTAGCTTAACTTCTAATCATTATAACTGTTCTTTTTGATCCCACAAGAAGCGATGATTAATTTATCCCTATCTATATTTTATGGGAAATATTTTTATTGTACATGCTATACAATTAATTCACAGTTGCGCCTCATGCTCTTTGATTGTTTTTAGTTTTCTACATTGTTCATTTCGACCTTTTTACTTTCGACATTTTTCCTTTCGACATTTCTCAGTACATTCAACACTTGCTTACGCTTCAAATGAACACATAAAAAATTTGGTCCAGAATTAATAAGAAATCAGAAAATCTGACATCGTCGGCCAAAATTGAGTAAGTGTAGTTGTATTTCACACTTTTCGAGCTGATGGCAGCCTTTGTTTAACAGTTCAGTGACATATTGGAACAGAACTTCAATAGTCGCATGGCGTGGTCAGAGTCACTTGAGTTGCAAAGTGCTCAGGGCACTAAGAGTTCTGGCAAAAGTGACGCTCATGCCTAATTCACTATAATTCTGCTCGCATGTGGTAGGTTTAAACAGTTGAGTATTTTTGATGACCCTCATTCGTCCGGATTCGAATAGAGCTGAAAAAGTGCCATCTAAAGATGCTTTTCCAGATCCTTAGTATGCCATTCTATCAGCGAGGAAAGGCGAAAACTGACTTTAGAGTCTAACGACCTGGTATAGTTAAAAGTCTTTGGGGTTCCAGCACTACATTTCTGGGATTTGAGATAGCGATATTCAAGACTGACCAAGCCGAGCTAAAATTCTTAGTTGCTTTTAAAAAGCGAATATTGAAAAAGCGTTTTCGAAATCCTAAGGAAGGGAATGGCGGGATCGAAAACCTCAACTCATTCGAAGGCAAATATCTCGGCTAGATTTGTAGCCCATATCGATCCTCTTTTTATTATGCGAAATTAAAGCCTCGGATTGCGTCGGCCGTAAGGGGGCAATGTAGCTTACAATGAACAGGTTGCACGACTAGAGAAAAGCGCGCAATATAGTGCATTGTTTATGTGACTATTTAACGAAACATCCCAGTGAAAAATATTCTCTGATTTCACTCAAATTATTCTGCAACAAAATTCAATCCTCAATCGGATTGATAATTTTGATTATGATCGATCAGCATATAACCCAAACGTGATGTTATTGCTAGCCCAATGGAAATTAGATTGATTGAAATCGGATTGATCTGTAGCACAATTTAAAATTATCAATCGATTGACAATATGGATTTTACTGGAAAACAATCTCATTTCCACTGGGCTAGCAATAGTATTACATTTGGGTTAAATGTTGGTCGACTAAAATCAAAATTATCAATCCGATTGCGGATTGGATTTTTCCGCACAATAATTTGATTAAAATCAGAGAGTATTTTTCACTGGGATTGAAACACGACCTTCCAACATGCATATACATTCACTGAGTTTATATACCATTTGTCTAAACAGATTGCTTGCACGATAAGATTAAAGCCAATAAGTCTGTACACTATATTTTTGAAACCGTCTGCGTTGTTCTGGAACGAGAAATCGAACCTCACACGGTCTAGTTCCGAGTTAGAGAAGTACCGCATCCTGTCAGGCTCCACGCAGTCCATATCGATTTTATTATTAACATATAGTTATTTTCTTGAAAATACCATGCGCCAAAACGGAACCTCAATGCGCTAGTTCTTTCGCGCTGCATACTTCAACACTCATTTTCAATCATGTTTCACAGTGCAAAACGGGCATACGTAGGCTATTCAGAAAGAAATGTTGATTGTGGAGTAACGAATGCTGGTGCCTAATGTCATGAGTTTAAAAAGACCGAAATCGCTTCTTCTATTTTCATGCGTGTACATGCATCTTGCTAAGTTTTTGACGACTCAGGTGACATATGATAGACGACCCTTTTTTCCCTTTTATCATAGCCGGCGGTCGAACATCGGTGATCATGCATATCTTTCCTTCCTGCTTTTCTTAGGTGATTCCCACTAAAATTCTAGTGTATTGAGTGTAGATTCGTTTGGCTCTTGAACTTCATCGGTTCCTCTCAACTCTATTCACAGAATTTTCACTGGATAGAACTAAGTGAATCAGCCAGAAAAAGCTCATCAACAATGAAGATAACCCATCAGAGCTTTAATAACTGGAAAATCAGAGTCAGTAACGGATCGGACTACCGTGTATTCGACGAAGTTTCTGCAACGGGGCAGAATTCAGTGGAGTATTTTTCAGCTGGGTATCGATGGCCTGATTTCGTAAATAATACGCTCTTCCGCACCGGTTTTGCTGATGAGAACTTAGAGCACCATGCGTCTACGAGGCTGTTATTTTAAATATCAAAATAATCCCCGAATCAAACAATAGACTCAAAGTATGAACTTCTCTTGTTTATAGTGACTCAGCAGCCCAATAATACTGTCATTGTTTATCCGAATGATCAGCAATATATTTGGGCAGTAACACAGTTTGATGCCGCATTCAAAGTCGTACTTCGTGGAAATCAAACATCTAATCGTTTGACAATCGTTGAAGACCTGCTCTATAATGGTACAGCATCTCGATGTCAAATTCACACAAGAGAAGATGTAACGATGTTGGTGCTAAACGGTTCTCTTCAATTTTATCTGAATGGGTATCAATTTTGTGCACCGGCAGGTACGACTATTCACATTCCACTAAATGCCACACAATCGCAACGGAATCTTGGGTCAAAACCAGTTCATATACAAATATTACTCACGCCATCGGGCCTCGAAAACTATTTGGATCAAATAGCTGTTATTCTTGCCCAACAACCGCTGAACGAAACTGCAGCAAATGAAAGCGCACTGGCAAACGGGCTCCTATTTTTTCCGGAGGTTGAATGGCAAGATCTCCATTGTGCGTTCAATGTTGGTACTCTGTTTTTCTTGTCCTTTCCTATAACATTTTCGGTCCTTTTGCAGTATGTTCTCATATATTTTTCCTGAAAATAAATGACAGAGGATCATAAGAGATTGATTTTGATCCCAGAATACTTTCAGTTGCTTTATTCACGATCCTATGCAAAGAAATATGATGACTCATTTGATAAGAAATTTAAGCAGATTTGTTAAAACTGGAAGTCATTTTGAGGAAAAATAACTACAAAAGAGTATTGGATTTTCACTGGACCCATATTTACCTAGTAGGAGCCGTGACACGACACTTGCGCGCCGACACTTGCGCGCACGACATTTCCGCGCACGACACTTTCGTGCACGACACTTACGCGCAACATGAATTTGTTTTTCTCCATATCGTTTGATTAGTTAAACTCATCAGTGTGAATAATAGGAATGTTTTGTTTTCGCATTATTGGATCAATTTGTATAAAAAAATTGAAGATCGAATAAAAAATATGATAAAAAAAGTTTCCTCTTGTTTCGCGCGAAAATTATTTCAAAATACCTAGATCAGTCTTTAATTTTTGAGCGTTTGATTTACTATTTATTAGTTATAAAATGTTATTTATTTGTGGTTTTGCTTTACTTGTATAATTCTTGCTTTTCTTAAATATTATTTCAATAAATATGTTTCAAAAATTTGACAGAATTATTAAGTAAACATGAAGAAAATTTTCATGTTGCGCGCAAGTGTCGGCGCGCAACTGTCGGTGAATCAGTAGAAGCCTTTATGTCTAGGGGAAACGGTAGACTTGAAGTAGAAAAGCTGTTAGCGCAATCCCTTCGGGATTAAAATGTGAAACACGATAAAACTGTTACTTCTTATAGGATAAAGTACTGTTCTATCGATTTCTAGATTCGTTCTTTCATTATACTTTAATGCATCAGCTACAAATGCAAAACCGAAACAGCTCAAAGGTTTTATCGAGATTGTAGCCATATCCGGTCCTTCCTTGTACGCTGATACGATTCATGTCAGTCTACAACGACGTCCACAGGTGTCTATCAAGCTGTATCATAGTCATAGCTCCACCTTTATATCCTCCCTTGCATTCCTAATACCGCTTGTGATGGATCCAAACCTTTTCTCTCAGGGTCAATTAAGGGTAATTAATTAATTACGCTGTAGTTAGTTAATTAATTAAGTTGTCTTCAAAAGCAACGCAAATCCCTATGCTTAATACTTTAACTCGTCTTCATCGGTCTGCAATGGTGGATGACGGTGTAATCACCTGTCTGTAAGGGTCTGTGACGGGGAAAAAGCCAGTTTATGGGAGGGGGGGAGCATTTGTCTGCAACGGTCTGTGGGAGGGGGGGGCCGGGGTGGGTGCAAATTTCTACCCTAAACACTTCAACACTCCTTTCAGGTCGTGTTTCACAAAAGCACAACAAAGTACAAAAGTAGTTTAAAGTAGCTCAAAGTAGCTCAACGTAGTTCAGAGTAGTTCAGAGTACTTTTAAATTACGTTAAATTACGCCAAAGTACTTGAAATTACACCAAAGTACTTTAAAGGACCCGCAAAGATGTGGAGATGCATGAAATAAAAATGAAATGACATTGAAAAATATGAACACTTGCTTTATTTACTTTTAAAAAGAGAGTAGTCACTAGTAAACCAAAACTAACGAAAGCAATAAGTTTACTAATTAGTATCAGATATTTGTTGCATGACACGAGACAAACGATCACTTGATAATTTCGTTATCTGGTTTGGCTGCAGCCAGCAGGCTGGCTGTGCATGAAGATACTTAATATTTCCGTTTATTTTAGTCTTGAAGTACGACTGTGTTAAAGCCGGATTAATTTTATCAACTATATTTATGCCATTAAAATCGGATTTTGTTGAATTTAATATATCATAATCATCACTACTAACAACGTCTTGCTGAAAATCAAATAGAATTTCATCAATAGGTTGGCCTGCTGCATAATTTACAACATCATTATCATCATTTTCTTCATATAATCCAAACTCTTCAGCGGTGTTGTTTTCTGTCGGAAAAGAATAATTAATCATTCTTGAATTTTTATTTAATATGCTGAAGATATAATTACTTAGATCATTTAAAGAGTTTATTTTATGTTGATTTAATGCATCTAGCATTTTGAATGGTTAACAAGATGTATTGCTTGATCATACACGTTTAATATTACTTGTTCAATATCTAATGTATCAATTTCATCTAATCGATGTGATGATATTAATGAATATTCACGTTTATATTTGTGGGGTATGGGAACGGATAAATCTTTTTCCGATTGATTATGTTTCAGTTGATTTAATATTGATATTTTTTGTGAACGTCCAATAAAATCTTTTACGGCAAAGTTGGCCAGTGTTGAGAACGTACTGCTTAACGATCTTGCATCTCTAAACAATGACTCACATGGCTGTGAATTGAATAAATGTATATTGATTAATGTTTGTTTAGATAAATCTTGTTGTTTTACTAATAGTACCAAATATAGTAAATTATGTGCGTTCAATTCAATAGATATATATGTTGGTCTAGTAATAAAATATTTGTTAATTTTATTCTTTCTTTCGTTTATTGTTTGGCTGGTTTTCGACGATTTCAAAGTTGATGTTTTTTCTATCCAAGACCACTAAAGATGGCAAACAAACACAACATACCATGCTTAGGGTGTGGGTGTGTGAATAAGCTGCCATGACTAGTTTCGACCTTGCTAAAGGGTCTCATCAGATGGCTTGAATTATCTTGAATTATTCTTAATCGAAAATTCAAAACAAATTCTAATATCTTCAAGAAATTATAAAATTATTCAAAATAAAATTATAATTGAAGAATTAAAATGATAAAGCATTATTCTAATGGTGATGGTTGTTTAATGGATGATACAGGGGTTGTTTGAATAGGTTTGTTTGAGTTTTTTTTTCGGGCTGTTCGGTGATGCTTTTGTTTTTGTTGATATAAGCTGTAAGATTGTGTTATTCCAAACGAAGCTAGTTGAAACAGTAATGATGTTTCGCTATTGTAGTTTTTCTTTGCTCCGTGATGATTGAGTGTTGAGAAATACATAGTGGTTGTATTTATATTATCTGAAATAGAAAAGAAATCAATTTTGAAATAGTGATTTTTAGTCTGTTGTTTGTTTTAAATGATTTTTAAAATCTTTTTTGTAAACTATTGAAGCTGAAATTTATCTGATAATGTTGTTAAAGGAAAAAGCTTAGCTTAAGAGCATTAAAATCAGTTCTTCTTTTTCCAGTTGTTTATGTTTCGTGCTGACTTGAGTACTGGTGTATTGTGTTTCGGATGTTGTTGATTATTTGTTTGTGGGATCAGATGTATTTTTTTCCGTGATTGTTGTCTTTTTCTTCGTCGTTCTTGAAGAAAAGGATAAAATAAAATATTATATACCGATTTGTCTCCGTTGATTTCTACTTTTGATGACTTACTCTCGAATGGCTTATTGATAAGTAAGGATTGTTTTGGTCGTTTACAAATGAGTTCAGTTTTTGCCGAACGACGATTCTTATTGCCAACAATTAATTTAACGTCGTCAGCAGTTGTATCTTTTAATGTATTAT